TTTAGTCTGCCAACATACGTCATGCTCCCTTTTTGTAAGACAGAGTCAATTTGTTTACGGGCTACAGATTTCTTTTTGAAGGAAAATTCCGCGGATTGCTTTCATGAAACAACTTCTTTCAAAACCTTCGTGAGATGGATCTTAAATCGTCATCCACACAGTTGCTTCGTCTATATTTTCTCAGAATGTAACCTCGCAATTTCGTGCCAAATGGAGAATAAACTGACACATTAGGATTTCTTCCCTAATGAACGTTGTATCTCACGGTCATGACGTGTAGAATGGCGACGTAATAAGGGAATGTAAACATACATACACACTGGGCAAGTTTATTACATAAAGATCATTTTCAGTTTTGTAGCGCCTTCGTCCAACTAATCCTTCCTTTCCTCCTAGTCGTCCAAGGAGGATCTCGACGAAGGACCTTGCTTCCTCCTGCAGAAGGCCTTCAGCGCTTTCTTAGGCTTTTTAATGGCATTGGCGAGGACCTTCCTGAAGGAGATCTTGGAACCGGAAGGAGCAACAGGAGGGCGACTCGCGGGTCCCGAGGCCGCATGCGGGCGGAGGGAGAGGGACCTGCGGAAGGCGAGGCCGGAGTGCTGTCTGACGCGGGATATGTGCCTCACGCTCGCCCTCCTCGAGGCCCTCCGGCGGAAGGGCTCTCCTTCGCTCGGCCTCTCGGCGAAGCGGTAACTGGCTCGGTCGGACGTCCAGCGGAGGATGACGCCGTCGGGAAGCACCGTGATGCCCTCGGGGACCTCCCACAGGCTGGACCTCCTCCTGAGGGTCTGGCGAAGGGGTCGAAGGAGAAACCTTGGGCCGTAGACCCCTCGGACGCAGAGGAAACACCCATGGCTGCCATTGCTGGGATGCAACTGTAATGAGATCACGAAGGCCGGATTTTTATACGAGCTGACCCGCTGAGGATCCCTGGGACCTCCCTCGCTGCACGCAAAGGGCGGCGTCCTGTTACCTCGCTCGTCCTCTTCGGGGACACGGGAGCGGTCACTGTGTTTTAATTGCTTAGGTGTGTGGTAGAAAAAAGGACCTGCTGTTGAGATCTTTAAAACTTTTGTGTAGACAGCAGTGTACGATTTCAGGAAAATATTGAATTTGTCACATTGATTTATTTATGATGAAATGTGATTTGTTTATAATGAAATTTGTTGTGTGTATGGCAAATGTACCGTGTAGAATGTTTGACAATAGTTATTGTATCCATTCTGAAGTTAGTCGTGAAATGATAGAAAAATGAATGAAGCATTTTATTGCTATTTCTCAAATAATAATTAGAACCATTACGATAGTCATACATTGTGGATGTTTATCTACACTTTTTGGCCTGTAAATTAATCTCCTACACATTCTTCCTATGTATGCTAACATTCCCCACTCTCCTCTCAATTTTGCTGTGTCCTTGAAGTTACTCCCTAGACCAAAAACTAAATAGGACTTGTTTCTCAACAAGCGCTGTATCCTACATGGATACCAATATACTTGCCCCTATTTTGGTTCTCTCAGACTGCTATACAGCCTATTTACACAGTAATTGCTGCATGAGGGAATGAGTGACAAGTAAATAACATCCGTGGACCAGAATAATATAAAGAAAAGAGGATAGTAAACAGGAATCAACAATGGGCAGTTTATTATGTAATGATCATTTTCAGTTCATAAAACTTGTAGCAATATTGGTCCAAAGAGGATCTTGACAATGGACCTTACCTATATATATCTGTGTATATTGCATTATGTAAAGAGTGAAGGAAACTGAATACATTTTTACACATAACATAAGATAGCCTCTGTGATTTGCTTAAGGTGTCAAAAGTTCGTTGTGATACTGGTACTTAACAGAGAACAATGTATTAACTCAATATTTTCCGCGGACACTTCAATTCACATTCTAAAAAAACAGAGGCTCACCCCTAAATGTTTTAATCAAGAATTGCTATCTTCACAAATGGTTCTACTCTATAAATCAAGGACACAAATGATAAGAAATAACACAAACAATTTAATTCTTTAAACGTTTTATTACTATTACCACAATAAACGCAAATGCATTAGTACATGCAAAGACCACATAAAAAAAGTCTGGTTGGAAGCAGGATATCATATCTATTGAAGTACAAACTCTGTCAAAAGGTTCATTTATGCTACAGTAAATCTTAGTTTTACAGTTACATTTTACAGGTTCTGAATGGTTGGCACATATGCAAATGCCAGTAGAATTAGCAAGCACTTGAAATGAAGGTAGTCTTGTCTGATACATTAACACATTTCCTATAAACTGGGAAATAGAAGTGGTTGCTCGGAAATCCCAGGTACAAAAGTGTTCAACTCGTAATTTAGTCAAATTAACAATGGACAAAGTCACACAATTGCGTGAGCTCATGACCCAAATCCAGAAACTTTTATAAGTATGAAAGGTTGGCGAGATTTTTATTCTAAAGCTCCATGACAGTATAGAAAATATAAATAGATCAAATAAACATAACAAAAAAGAGAATAATATCTCCATACAATTTTATGAATAAGAAACATAGATATTTGTAATAATAATCCCCTACTAGCATTAGCTTCTGAATTCAATGGTAATAATAAAGAAATGAGAATAACACCAATAAAACTATGACAGTAATAATAATTATTATATTGATGGAACAAGCTAATGAAAAAGCCTCATTACTGTCCAAAAGAAAAGAAAAAAAAGACTAGTTTTATAGGTCATGGGATCATTATATCTTTAAATATATATATATATATATATATATATATATATATATATATATATATATATATATATATATATATATATATATATATATATATATATATATATATATATATATATTTTTCTTGTTGTTTCCTTTTGTTTTATGGTGACTTCTGTTCCCACTTATCCCCTCCAACCACAATATATACAAACACAATGTATTAGCCTACACAACATAAAATGTGTGCAAATCACATTTGTGCCATAATAACAAAAAATCAAAATTAAAAGAAATTTGATGTTAATTACATAAGGGGTATTTACAAATACACACATATGTATAAATGAATGAATGTAGTGTGTACAATAACACACACTAATGAGACAAGTAGGCATAGTATATGCATTCATTCAACAAATACACTTATACACACAAGTGGACTTACTTGCTCACCAAACAAATGCACAACCAGTCATATACGTACAGACATACAAACACAAATCTTCCTTATTTTGAAAATAAGATTAAGAAATTATATTTCAAATCAATACTGACATCTTAGAAAAGTAAAAGATAAGGAATAAAGAAAACAGTAATTAGTAAACTGAAAACTTAGAAAAAAAAAAAATACTGATTATTTATGTACCGCTTACAAAAAGAAAAGAAAATCATTGCAAAATATAAATAATGCATAAAATATCACTCTAAGCCAAGCTGCCTCAATTTACTCTCACATATATTTTCCCAAAGTGTAAGAGACAATATAATATCATGCTCGGTCAAATGCAAACCTATAATAGGCTTTAGCACCTGCAGTAGGCCTATGCATCTCAATATCAAACTAAGTTTGAAGTAATTGCTATTAGATTATCCATTATATTATTTGTTATGTTGAAAAATAATAATGAAAATGATAATGGTAATTAATTTTAATAATAATAAAAAAATTATGATAATATAATAATAATAATCATCATCATCATAACAACAATAATAATGGCAATAATAGTAATGATGATAATAGTAATAAGTAATCATAATAATGATAATATTAACAATAATAATAATTAGGGGAAATCAATGAAAATAATTAACAGTGGATAAAACAGGGATAAATAAACAGGAATATATCATTATACAAAGAAGCAATCGCATCGCCACATTCTCAACATAAACAAAACACACATTATGCCTCCGTGAAATCATGCGGTAAATAAACATCAAGAAAAAAAAAAAAAGACATTATAAGATGCCGTCAATTTTTTATAGAAAAAGAAAGATGCAATCATAAGTCTCATGTGTAGAAATTCCTCTTTAGTCAGAATAATAACGGTGTCTCGATTTCCTAAGCATGTTTTCATTTTGTAATATATAAAATTCATTTGGGGGGGAGGGGGGCTTATTGTACTCTGAAACATTATGTTAAAAATTATGGCATCACCATTTTTATGAAGTTCTCATACAACAATTTTTCATTACATTACATCTTAAAAGCAGACCGTATTCCCCTAACAAAATATTACACTGTGTATCAGGAAAACTAACTGATAGTTAAGTTCAAAATTTTCTCTCTATTTACAGCATCCATTAGTGTCAAATCTGCAAATACACTTCTAGTTTTCCTGATATGGCATGTGGAACCTAATATTTTAAAGATATAGGAATATTTTGCAATGAGTTACATGTTGCCTTTAAACACTGTATCACAATAGGCCTCATTTAGGTTCAAGAAATTTCACACACAATAACTGTCCTCACACTCATTCACTAACACTTTCCCCACCCTATGCTAAGACTATACAGCCACTGAATAATCCAGGGTACTCTTTTGATCAAGGTAAAAGGAAACATCTTATACCATCGTCATTTCAAAGAACGCCGCAGCAGCAAAGTGAATTTGAAAAGTGGACGTTAAGGAGAAGTTTTGCTAGCGATTTCTGAGTTTTTGTTGCTCTTCATGGGAAAGAAAAAATAGACAAAGCGCAGTGCAGTTGAAACTGAGTGCGATGAAATGTCTAATTGAAGCACCGAAAAAGGACGGCCAGAAGCTGTCAGCAAGAAATATTCCTAAGGTGTCATTTCTCTTTCATGATTATTAAACAGACTACTGTAATGGTCAACTATGTGCTATTCTATCAAGCACATCATTCTAAGAAGTGAGCAATGTGTGAGCCAGCAATGGAATGGCTTTCTTTCCCTCTTTTCTTTTTGAGCTTGAAATTATTGGGGCAGGGACCTAACGAGCTTCAGAAAGTAGGTGAGTATATAAACACATTCCCGTCTAAATTATCTCACGTATAATTTGCACTGAAGCATACACGTTCAAAGACAATACAAGAACAGTAACACATTTTTGGAAAAGTAATCAAAATTATATAAACATCCACTACACATATGGATTTGAAATAGGCTGACTCTCTTCTTGCTTAACACTGAAACTAATACATGAAAAAAGCACCAAATTTCTTCATTTGTGCACTTATTCCTTTCCACAGACTCCTGCTTGTATGTCCTTAAGTGTACACAGACCTTACACAAATGAATGTCTGAAAAAGTGTTTAATCAACTTTTCTCTCCCTCTGTCTCTCAAAGCATTTTCTATATAAAACTGTGTGCAAGGGTTAGAAATTTACAGAATATGTTGAGCTCCATTAAATTTGTGGCCTTAGAATATATTATGAAGTAATATTCAGCTCTTCCCTAATCCTGAAACATCATCAAGAAAACATGTCCAACAGAATTACTACATTACACAGAAAGAATATTACAGATATGTTCTTTAAATATCATTGCAGAAGAGCTTACTTCTTTGACTGAGTGATATATATTCTAGCAGAAATACATGCACATCAACATATCAATATTTGCATATGAATGAGTAAAACGGGCAACACAAAGAGAAAGTGAGAGAAAAAGACCGAGAAAATATCACCAGACACATTACAGCCAAAAACAAAAGACAACGTCCAACATACTATTTATTATACTGTAATGGTGCTGCTCATCTATCTAAACACTGACAAACCATATTTGCAACAACCAAACACTAAGGCAAATGAGCCAGCAACTCATGCATACATAAGGGAAAAATATCCTACTATTTCTCACTTCTGTCCATCACAATAGAGAGAGTTCATTTCTGTCTCATGTTCAAGATTAATTTATTCTAATCTTTTCTGTATTACATGAAGCTCTTCTCAATACAAGCATTCATAACCCATCAAAAGCTGTACATTTTTCATACAGTTATGATTATATACCTATTGCTACAGATCTGGCTCTCAAATGATACCTAGTTCCCTTCTGCTTGAGTTACCTTCATTTAGCTTAAGCTATTCTGAGCTTACATACCCCCTGATGCTTCTTTTAAATTACTTCTGTTATCTTATGATGGACAGAAAAAAAAGGAATAACAAAATACTGATTTTCAGTTGACCTTTCACCAAACTTTGTGCCATTTATGTTCTTTTAAGATCATCCTGTATTTGAAGACATTTTTCCAGTCAAAGAATATATATTAAAAAATCTAAACAGACATACACAAAAAATTTTGAGACAATACTAAACTCTCTCCCTTGTGAGAAAAAACAAATAATAAATCCATTTCAATTTGCACCTGTATCTAAACTTGGGTGGGGTGGGGGTGGGGGGTCAATGCAGGAATATTTCTGCGTTAAACATCTATGTGCTCTCCACTTGTTTTGTATAAGATTCTAAAAAAAAGTTCAATGAGAAGGAATCATTCGCAATGTCAGTGGTGTCACTAACATGCTTGCTTTTAACTCTTTATGAGAACTACATTAGATTTAATAAATATGTGTCCATTACATCTCTTGCTTTGCGAATTATTCCTTCTCATTCAAAACCTTTTTCTGCATTATTATGAGATTCCTTATCTACACGATATCAGCACCAAGTAGCACTGGATGGCAGCATGATAACATGAGGAAACAGGCTGACCGGCTAATGTCTAGATACCTCGCAGGATGAACTACCCATCCCTAGAGTCTTGGCTTACGTGGGCTTGCCTGCTTGTGTGCTTGCTTTGTTTGCAATTCCTTGCTCTGCGTAGGATGCAGAAGTCTGAAGAGTACAAAAAGCAGAAGGAAAAATTGGAAGAAAAGACTAAAGGAACAAGTAGATATTAAAAGACGAAACCAAAGAAACAAAAGATAAAAGAAAAAGAGGTAAAAATCAAGAGTAATAAATAAGAGGAGAACTAGACAATAAAGAAAAAGACATGAGAAAAAGAAGAGATAAAAAAAATATAGGAAGAAATAACCTGGTACAAAATCAAACTGAGGCAATTACTGGGTGAGGTATATACTCCATAACAAAATAAAATCCTTATACCACAATCTCAGGTGAAAAAAAAAAAAAAAAAAAAAAAAAGCAGAAAACTAGGTCATTTCAGAGTGGAAATGACTGGAAGAGAAATAATGATAATTAAATGAAGTGACCAAAGAAAGTAAAAACACACTATGAATGAGAATGGGGGTGAACGTAATTCAAATCTACAATATATACAAGGTAGTAATGTACTACACAGGTCTAAATGATACAGTGCAGTAAACACCAACACTCTTGGGCAAGCAGACATAACTTTGCATTAACAGTACAAATCTTTATCATTAAGCGACCATTCCTTTACTGCAATCACAATATACCACTGTAACACTCCTTGCACATGTTTTTATGTACACATAATATGAAATGTATGTGTGTACCTATGTATGTATCCTTCCATTTCCTCTGAATGAAGTACTTTTGCCAACTCTGCATTTTATTGTGTTAATAATTAATGTCCTTCTGTTTCCCTGGAGAGCTTGCAATACATATTACAAGGTATTTTTCCTTTCTTCTAGGCATTCAATAAAAATACTTAAAAAAAACACTAAAAAGCCTTTCACAATAAGGTCTTAGTCTATACCAAAAAAAAAAAACTGAATAATATATGCCCTCATATCAGAATATCTTTTTCTTTCACATTATTATCCTATAGATCAAGAACACTCCAAAGGTCTAAAATCAGCATCACATAGACCTTTATATAAACAAAGAAAGAAAGAAATTTTTTAAAAAGTGAAAATTGAACCCTACTCCGACCCCTTGTTATCAATAGAGATTAATCTTCTTTGAAATGGGCTTCCTGCACATGTGGCAAGTCTTAAGTGTCTGGGCGCAGATGACACATGCTCCGTGACCACAGAGGAAGGCAACGCTACGACGGCGCTCCAGGCAGATGCTGCAGCAATGAGCCTCCTCAATCTCTGCGATCTTGGTCTCCAGGTAGCGCAGTCTCTCCGCGGATGGCTGCCGAGCTTTGCTAGAGACTGTCCGGCCATCTAGAAATGGGGGAAATGGGCATTAGAAATCACGTCCAGATCAAGGGTTATTTCAGACTGAGGGTCTGCTTTTCATCAACTTATTTCCCATTTTTTCAAGACACAAGATGATTTTATTTTTCATAGGAAATATAAATAGAAAAGAAAAAAGAAGTCCAATCAGTCACAAAAAAATATACTTCTCTTATGATTACTATATTATTATTAGCAGTATTTCTATTTAACCAACTAGCGACAGTATATTTTGAAGACAAAAATAATGGTTTCTGGGTGGCTTCAAAATCAGCGTGCGGGGCTTGCCCAGAATCTGCCAACAAGCTCCGATCCAGCGTCACACCGGTGGGATGCCCAGCAATAATTTTTTCTGAGTGTCACATATGTGTGATACCCGTTGTAAAATAATAAATAAATAAAGATGTAATACATAACTAACCTCTTGTAACTTTGGTCAGCACAACAGCATGGCATTGGAAGCACTTCTTGACACGTGTAGAGCAGTCCTCGCAGGTGACGCAGTGCCCACATGGCTGGAACCTCACTGTGGCTGGACACTCCAAGCAGATCGAACACTCGTCCTTAGTCTCCACAATCTGCTGGGATTTTGTTTGAGTTAGAGATGGACAGATTGAAAATACCTTCAGAGATTTTGTGTTCATATAGAGATTGGTTTATGACAGGGTGGGGAGAGGGAATAATTGAAACACTCAATCTCTCCTTCCAAGAGAAAGAAAAGAAAAGTACCTTCTCAATGTCACAATTATTCATGGGCTCAGAGGTACCAGGCACCATGACTTGCTCGCCCTGGCTTTTGGCTGGGCTCACAGGCTGGGACACCGACTGAGGCTTGTTGTTCCCTCCAGCGAAAGAGTTTCCCGATGGGGACTCTGCGGATGAGGAGGAGGACGCAGGCCCATCGAGGATGCCACCACCAACACTGCTACCATGGCGAATGCTCTCAGCTGCCAGGTCCAACGCCTTCAGGTCCATGTCAACACGGGCCATTGTATCTGCACTGCTGCAGAAGGATAAAAGGATAATCAGATTTCACTATTATTGCTGCCATTATAATTTGTGAAAGAACACCACACTCATCTCTCTCTCTCTCTCTCTCTCTCACACACACACACCACACACACACACACACACACACACCACACACACACACACACACACACACACACATACACACACACTCACACGCTCATGCAAGCACGCACGCACACGCACCCACACACTGAACAAAGAAAAAATATCAACAATAGTACTAAGATATCTGGACAAATAAATGTGCCCAACGTCCTTACCTAGCCTGCGTAGAATAGCTCTGCAGAAGATCAATGGTGTTGGTGTCATTGATGAGGTCGAGAGGTGTCTTCGAGCGGCTATTGGCCACGGTGATGCTGCAACCCTTCTGCACTAGATAGCAGGCAACGGCCAGGGACACCTTGTTCTCAAAACCTCGCTGGGAGATATTGTTGAGGATCTAGTGAAGGGGTGGGAGAATATTGTAAAGAAAAATGCAAGAAAAAAAAGCATATGGTGACAAAATAGATCACAAGTCAAAACTAACATGCATAAGCTCAAAATCAATCCCATTTAACAATGGATTTAGCCTTATATCACAGAACTTCACAAGCAATTGAAGTCTAGGAAACAGTTCTTTTCCCTGACCCTGAATAAAAATTAAACATACACCTTCCTACCTGCGTAATGGTTGGGGCATGAGAGGGGTGGGCATGTGTTGTGGTGGAGTTCTTCAAAAGTGCCAAGTGGAGTGCTGTGTCCCCATCCTCGTCACATGCCCTTACGTCGGCATTGCTGTCCACCAGGAGCTCAACAACACCGCAGTGACCCTGGTGAGAGTTCAGAAGTCCAAACTGAATTTAATGTCTTCAAAAATGAAATTGATAGTTAATTCAATGTTTATACAATGTTCCCAAGCAGAGAAATAAGATTAATTAAAATAAGGTTTCAATGTTAACATTTACAATAAGGCATTTGATGTTGGCATTTCCAGTGATTAGTTGTTCAAAGCTAACAGTCCTAATAATAAAGTATTCAAATTTAAAATGCCATAAAAGACATTCAAATTAATATTCCTTATACGACAGTATTCACATTAACACTTCTGTGAAATATGTTTTCAAATTCTTAATATATATTTTTCCATTAACTTAAGACATGTACCTTCCCACTATGCATGAAAAAGAGGACACCCCCAAAAAATTATTAATGAGACAAAGGCGGGATAGGACAAGGCAAAAAGCATACATACCTGTGACACGGCAAGGAGGAGGGGCGTCTGCTTCTTGTTGTTGGTGATGTCGACAGAAGCCTGGCCAAGGGTGATGAGTGTTTCCGCAACCTGTCGGTGTCCATTTAAGGCAGCCAGGTGGAGAGCTGCAAATCCATCGTCCTTGCGCACATCTACAAATTGCCTCGAGCGAAGAACCAGCTTCTCTGCAGCACTGTTGATGGGATAAATGGATGGTTGAGATGAATGGGTATTTACTCCATCAATAAATAAATATTAACAGATGAGGTAGCATGTGATAAAGTCAAATAATGTAAGGTACAGCACAGCCATAATCTTATAGGACTGCATTTTACTTTGTTTATTACAGATTTTTTGTTATATCATGTTTTCAGAGTATTTCATATGTACCTATGGTTTGTGGGTCAGAGCTAATCATTAAAAAAAAATAATAATAATAATAATAATAATAAAATGAATTAATTTAAAAAGTCGTCTCTATTGATTACAATTCATGTTCAACCAGGTTGTGAGTGTACCACAAAAAATGAAATTTGGTTGTAATTTAAAATGTTTGAAGAAAATTGGCCTACTGCATCTCACCAAAACCAGCAACTAACACTAGCCTTTAGACTTCAAATCAAAATTTTACAGAAATAATAACATAGTCAGATCAGTGTATACAAGAAATAAAAACGTGTCATCATATCAGTGTATAAAAGAAATAAAAAATTGTCGTCATATCAGCGTAAACAAGAAATAAAAAATAGTGTACGCAATCCCCTCCCCACAAAGAATGATTAAAAAATATAAAGAGCAAATCAATAAAACAAAAACGGCATCCTAATCCTTCCTGTACGCAGCCTCCTCACCCTCTAACCTCCCTCTCTGGGGGGGGGGGGAAAAAAAAAAAAAGAAA